TCGCTTCCAGCTGCCTGGCTGCCGGCCGCCATCTTGGCTGACAGTTAATTTGCATAAGGATATGCTGATTAGCCAATGGGAAGGGTAGCGGTTGTACGCCAATTACCATGTTTCTCTTTTATTAGTGTAGATTCCACCATCCTCTGACTTTCATTGTTGCTATTTGGAAGTCAAATGTCAGACTTATTGTTGCTCGTTTAAATGTAATGTCTCAGGGGAGGGGGGTTTGCCCCTCTGATTTTAAAGATATTTTCCTTTATTTTGGTATTTGGAAACTTAGAACTAAGATATATCTATGTGACATTTTCATTGTCTTTATCTTTTTAGGGTGTTATGGCTCATTTTAAATCTGTGGCTTGATGCATTTTATTAGATTTGCCAAATTTCTGTCTAGTATCTGTTCAAATATTCTCTCTCCTCTCCCTCTGCAGCTTCAATTATACATATGTTAGGCCTTGCCCTATGTGTCTGTTACACTTTTTTCTGTATTTTCCATCATTTTTTCTTTTCATCATTCAGTCTGAATACATTCTTTTGTCTGTCTTCCAGATTATTAGACCTCTGTCTAATCTGTCATTGAAACATTATATTTATTGCCGAAACTGGTTTGGCTCAGTGGATAGAGCGTCGGCCTGCGGACTGAAAGGTCCCAGGTTCGATTCCGGTCAAGGGCATGTGCCTTGGTTGCGGGCATATCCCCAGTGGGGGATGTGCAGGAGGCAGCTGATCGATGTTTCTCTCTCATCGATGTTTCTAACTCTCTATCTCTCTCCCTTCCTCTCTGTAAAAAATCAATAAAATATATTTTTAAAATTAAAAAAAAGAAACATTATATTTATTAATTTTGCTTATTGTATTTTTAAATTATGTTGTTTATATTTTGTTTCTAGTTCTATGGTAAAATTATACATCTTGTCATTCACGTTCTTGAACATTTAATCACAGCTATTTTAAAGTTTAAAGAGACAGGGAGGTATCTGTGTTTATTTGATGTTCTTACACATGGTTTTTGCCATGTGATCTTATCTCCTGATATTCCTGGTAATGTTGATCAAATGTCAATTATCATATTTTAAAACTATAGAAATAATTTGATGATGCTATTCTTCCAGAGAGGATTTACTTTTGATTCTAGCAGGTAGTGAGGGTAGATGATCACCATAATCCATGGTTGAGGGGTGGTCTGTTCTGATCCACCTCTATTACTAGGGTGAAGCCCTTCTGCGCATACAACTAGAAACCTGGGGTGTTTATCAGGATCCTTCTGCTTCAAAGGCTCTGAATTTAAGTTTTTGGCCCCCTAAGATCATAATATTGCCAGAAGCTATCCTTGACTTTCCAATTTCTCAGCCTAAACTTTTAAATCAGCACATTCTCTGAAGAGGGACAAGATACCTAATGGTGGGCTCAATCCCTTCTCTCCAAGATCTCAGATCCTTCCATCCCAGCTGACCTGGCAGCTCCCCAGGCCTTACTCAGATTCCATGATGTATTTAATCTAGATTTTTGTGATGTTCTTGGTGGAAGTGTTAGTCTGTAGCAACCTGGTCCTCTGTAACCTTCTACTGCCATTTCTGTGCAATTTTTCCTGCCCCCTGGACACTTGTGGTCTAACCAAGATTACCATGTAGACTGGAAGCTGGGCATGCTCAGTTCAGTAACTCCTCCATCGTGGTCACAGGCGTGGAGGCCCCTCTACTGTGTTATCACATGAGCACTCTGAGGTCCCATGTGTCTCATATTCACTCTCCTCTACCTTTTCTTCCATGCCATTCTGCATGATACCACTTCTTCTGAAGTCCTGCTTTTCCCTGAAGAGGCCCCGCTCACCCTCCCACTCTCTCTTTCTCTGCTGGACTCTCCCCTTCCCCCTCCTCTAGGTCACATGCAAGAAACAGGCCCTGGAGGAGCAGCTGGCCCAGAGCCTGAGGGACCAGGAGGCGCAGATGGACACTCTCCGGACGGCCCTTCAGGAGAAGGAGGCTTTGTTGGAGGAGCGAGCTCAGCTGCTGGCCAAGCAGGAGGCCCTGGAGAGGCAGGGCCGGCTCACGGCTAAGGAGGCAGCTGATCTCAGGTACCCAGGGGCCTATGGGCAGGGTGTGTGTGTGCCTGGCCTTGCCTCAGAGAGGCTGCAGTGTGGCAGGGGGCAGGCATTCACCTAGCAATGGTAGGGCCGGGAGGGTATGTTTACATGGGAGAGAGACTGTGAGTGAGGTGGACCCAGTGAGAGTCCTGGGGTGACCTTTCTGTGAGAGGTGGCTGCACTGGCCAGGTGGCAAGTTGCAGAATGACAACATGGAATGTCTTACTCGTGGATCTGAGAAGTTTAAGGTATACATGGTTTCAGGCGAGGCTGGATCCAGGTACTCCCACAGTGCCCGCAGGACCCTGCCTCTCCCCCCTCAGTGCTGCTCCATCCTGAGGAGGTCTGGTTCAAGGGCTCAGGGTGAGAGGTGGCAAGATGGTCAGTGGCTCCTCCAGGCTTCCTCCTCTAGCAGACACAGAGTGCCCTTCTCCCCACAAGGCCCAAGAGTTGCTGCCATTAACCACCCTGAGCTACTTCATGTCCCTGAACCAATTCAGTGAGTCACAGGGCTCAGATTGGCTGGCCGGGTCATATGCTCATCCCTGGAGTGGGGGGTGGTGTCAGCCCCAGGGAACCACCAAGCAGAGAGTGGGGCCACAGTGAGCTCAGTGACCATGGGGCCACTTCCACTTAATGGGCACTTTAGGCAACACCAGGGGTGCCCTGTAGGCTGTGCCTGGTGAGCTGACCTGGTCCCGTAGCCTCTGGACCTTTTGGGCCCTTCTCAGGAATATCCGAGTACTTTTCTAGAAAAGATATCCTCCTGGAATGCCAGAATCTGGGGGTCCTTGTACATCTTCTCAGACAATCCTCTCCTCAAAATGAAAGCTTTTGGAAATTGATAAATGAAAGCTTGGTGGAAATGGATAAAACTTGACTAAGGCTGGGGTGGGTTGTCAGAAGCAGAGGGTCACAGGACCCTGCCCACCGCCTCCTAGGCCCACAGTGCTCAGAGGGCAGTGTGGTTGGAGGCCCTTTTCCTCCCGCCAGCATGTGCTGCTGGATCATGGGCCCTGGTCAGTGGTTTCGGGAACCTGCGATCCTGCACCAACTCAAGCCTAACTCCTGGGCCCAGGACCCCTGCACAGTCACATGCCCACCAAACAGCATTTCAGGATGACCCATCTGAGCTGCTGATGACAGGGCTGCTCGGGACTTGTCCCGAAACCATGTCTGCCTGGCACAAGCGGTGTGTGTTTATTTCACTGGGTGGGACTCTCTGGCCGCCTCAGTTTTCATGAGTTCCCAGACCGTATTGATGACCGCTCGGTGTGAGCGGTCCTGCTCCAGGTCTCCTGGTGAAACCTCCATGGTCAGCTTGATGTGGGAGGACCCCAGGCCCTGGGGACACCCCCTCAGTTCACAGGGTGCCAGCGTGCTGTTCAGTCTGGGAGATGGACTAGGTTCCCTGCCTGCATACCCCACGCTCACCCTGGCTGGCCTCAGGAGGCTGAGCTGCCTGTGGGCTCCTGTGGAGGGAAAGACTAGACATGCCCTTAGATTCCAGCCTCCAGGTGCAGATTCTGAGCAGCAGAGGAGACCTGGAGGGCCTCTGGGAGGAGGAAGGTTCTGGGTAGGGAAAGCAGCCTAGGTAGAGAGAGTGGGGAACATGTGGGTGCTGACCAGGTAGGGACTGGAGGGGGAACCAGGGTCTCAGAGAAGTGAAATTTCTGGGCTGTGCAGGTATCGGGCCCCTGGAAGGTGTGGAAGTGCCCAACCCCCAATAGTGGTGGTAGTGGTGTGCAGGGGGAACCTAGCGAGGCTGCCCAAGGCCCACGGCCCGCCCTGGCCCATGGGCTTATCGTGGGGCTGCGCATTGGCCATTTGTGTGCTCATGTGGGTATTTGTGTTCAGTGTCAGTGGGGTGCCCATGTGTACGTCACCCAGCACAGCAGAGCAGAGCAACACTTAAAACATGCTCGCTGCCTGGTTGATGCTAGTGGGTTGGCTGTGTTCAAGCCACCTCCCCAGAAATGGGGGCTGCTGTCAGGGCTGTGCTCGTCCCAGGTGTCTTCTGAGCGTTCGCATGGGTGCAGAGGCGCGAGGCAGCTTCTCCTATAATGGAGCCACACGTGTGAGGTTCTGCTTCTCAGAGCAACTCTTTAGGTGATAAGAGTTTCCTCATCCTCCTTACGGCTGACAATGTGCCATCATCTCCACAACACTCTGCCATCCGCCAGCTCTGAAGACAAGTGCAGTCCTCCAGCCACAGTGAGCACCCTGTGCAGCGTTGTTGGTCCAGTGTGTTTCTAAGGTGCTAACACCTGAAGGTGGGGTTGCTGCTAGAGGTCAGGCACCCTCACCAGCACTGGGTATTATCATTGTTTCAGTCTTTTGGTAATCGAATGCCTGGTTGTGGTTTTAATTTCCTTGAGTACCGAATAAGGTTAGCAAGTTTCATATGTTTATTAACCATCTGTGGATTTTTTTGTGAATAACAGTCATTTTTCTCATTTTTCTGTAGAGTCAGCTGACTTTCTGTCATTGATTAGTAGGAGCTTTTTGTATATGATGGATATGGACCCTGTGTATATTTAGTGCAGATTTTTTTCTCTTCAAGTCTGTGCCTGGTCTTTTAAGTTGGTTTGTGGAATCTTTTCTGCATGAAAGCTCTCCCTCCCTATCTTTAAGTATATTCAGACCTATCAGCTTCTTTATTTTTATCTTCTGTTGTTTGTGTCTTTCTTAAGAAGATTATAAAATACCCTTCTGTATTTTTTTCTACCACCTTTACAGTTCTAAGTACTTTAGTTGTTGTTTGTTTGCTTGTTTGTTTTTGTATTTTTGTTTGTGTTTTTTTCATTTAGCTTTTAATCCACCTGAAACGTTTTTTGTGTGGGATCAATTTGTTTTTACAGATTTAAGATGAAAGATATGTCCTCTGTTTATTCTCTGACTTACCAGCCTGGCCTTGGCAAGTGCTGTCCTGCCAGCAGCAAATGGGATCGCTTGGTGACTGGCCCGCTGTTTGATGGTTCTCCACAGGGCCGAGCGGGATGTGCTGGAGAGCAGCCTCTTTGAGGCTCAACAGCTGGCAGAGCAGCTGCAGGCACAGCAAGAACATCTGGAGGGAGAGGCCCAGAGCGCCCGACAGGCCCGGCAGGCCCTGCAAGGTGCTCCAGCAGCTCCCGCCTGTCTCTCCTCTTCCCACATGGCCCAGAAGGGCCCCTTCCATAGAGCTCAGTCCCAAAGTGTTGCTCCCATTGCCTGGTCCCCCAGGAAGGGCACCAACTCTGGCCTGGAGCTCCTGTGGCTGAATGGGTCCATCTGTGAGGGGTGGCCTGTCCAGTCTGCTTCCCAAGGTCTAGACCTGGGTCAGTGTGGCAGCCCCTGCCCCATTCCCTGGGCTCCCACCCCTGCTCAGCCCACCTCACCATGTGTGGCTCACCCAGCCCCTAGGCCTGGCCATAGCCAGAATACACACTGTGGTGGGACTCTGTCCCTGCCTGCTTGGGCAGCGTCCTCAGAGCAGGTGGCTGTCACTCCACAGGGGGCTTGCACAGGCCACAGGGTGTTCCATGGCATGGGCCCTGTGGCCAATCCTGGATACATCTGTCACTTTGCAGTGGAATTGGAGCAACTGAAAGGCGCCTGGGAGGTCCAGGAGACGAAGCTGGAGTGGGACATTGGGCAGCTGCGGCGGCAGATGGCGCAGCAGGAGCGGGAAGCACAGCTGGCCCTGGAGAGCCAGGCACTGGCCCACTGTGAGGACCTCGCACGGCTCCAGAGGGAGAAGGTCTGCTTCCCTAGGCCACCAGTTGCTGCCACTCCTGGGAGTTTACATGTCCCAGATCATGGCAGAGCCTCAGGGAAGGGGTCCTAGGAGACCAGGCAGGAGGCAGAGGTGCCAGGCCACACTCAGGTGGGGGCCAGAGAGGACCCTTCATAGGTAAGGTGGGCAGCTAGGGTCATGGGGCTGAGCCAGTGTGGCTCGGTCCTCTCCTTCGAAGGAGGGGCCAGCTGTGGGCATTGACTGACCTGGCTGCAGGTTGAGGGCCGAAGCTGGAGGGCGCTTCATCGCCCATCCGAGCCATCCCACCGGCCAAGACTCCTGCAGGCCTTGTTTGACATGCCTGCACACATCATGCATGTCACTGGTGCGTGGTGTGCCGTGGAGGCTCAGGAAAGGCCTTTGAACTGTTAGTTCATGTCAGATAGGGGAGGTGGAGGTGGAGGCCCAGAGAGCCCCTTTGCAGCTCTTGCTTCAGTGACACTGTGTGTGAGACAAGGGGCTTGCAGCCAGCTTGACAATCCCTGGGGACCTGTCTTGCCCTGGAGTCCCATGAACCAGGTCTCACTCAGACCACAGGCACTGCTGGTCTCACATGTCCTGACCTGTATGGTCCTCACAGCCTGTCCCTTCGTCTTGGCCCAGGAGACCCTCAGTCTGTCTCTGACGGAGGAGAAGAAGGTGGCAGCATGCAGGTTGGAACAGGAGAAGGAGCTGGTGGCAAAAAGTGCAGCCAAGAGGGAGGCTCTGAAGGAGGAAATTCAGAGCCTGAAGCATGAGCGGGATGAGAGCCTCCTCCAACTAGAACATGAGATGCAACAGGTAATGGGGGGACTGTGAGGCAGTGGGTGTGCACACTTCCACCTCACCACGCCTCCTCTGGCCCAGCAAGAGGTCCTGCTACTGTAGTGCTGGTCTTCCACAGCAGTCCTGGAGGACAGACACTCACCCACCCACCTATCCACCCATCCATCCGTCCACCATCCATCCACCCATCTATCCACCCATCCACCCACTCATCCATCCATCCACCCATCTATCCACCCATCCACCCACTCATCCATCCATCTACCCACCCATCCACCCATCTATCCACCCATCCATCCATCCATCCATCCACCCATCCCTTTATCCATCTATCCATCCTTTCATCTGTCTATCCATCCATTCATCCATCTGCTCATGTATCTATCTGTCCATACATCCATGCAACTCAACTGTCCCTCAACTTCTTATCCATTAACCATTCATTCACCTGACTCCATTCTTTTATCCACACACCCAGCTGTCCACCCACATACATGGCGATCTCTCCACATACTCAATTGTCTATTCACACACATCACTGTTCATCAATTCATCAATTTGCTTGAACATCCATCCAGCTATTCATCTACCCAATCATCCATCAACATGACTATCCATCCACTCATCTGACCATCCACCTATCCAACCACTCACTTGACCATCCATCTATTTCTTCATTTAAACAGCCTTCTCTCTGTCCACACACTCGGCTGTCCATTCATATCCACCATTCATCCATCTGACTATACATCCATCTATCTGATTAGCCAGCCATTCATCCATTCATGTATCCAGCCACTCTTCTGACCATCCTTCCATCCCCCGGCTATTGAGATTCAGACACTGGACATGTAAAAGTTACCCTCTGAGTCCAGGCTCTTCATTTTACTGTGACACTGTGAAGTATTCACTGTCCAGTGAATGGAAGGACAAGTAAACCTATTCACATGTGTTGTCACATAAAGTGATAGAACTCTCAGGTGTTGGCACAAATTACAAACCACAGGGGATGGGTTCCAGTAGCAGGAGTCACCAAGGTTTATTGTCAGACTCCATGCATTTCTAACTTGATTCTCTCAACATGCTGAGGTACATGCTCTTATTAGCCCCATTTTACTGGTGAGAAAAGTAAGTGGTGACCACCTTGCCCCAGCTTGCACAGCACACTGGGTCTGTGCTCATAGCTGTTCCACCCTCCGCTTCCTGAGGAGGAGGAAGAAAAGGCTTTGTAGCTGTGGTGGCATTGGGGAAGGGAGAGTGAGACTGTAAAGGAGGAGCAGGAGGTGGTTGGGTAGGGAGGGAAGGGAATTTGGGGAATGTCTGGGGATGGCGCAAAGGACTGTGCAGAAGCCCTGAGGTTCAATGATTCTCCAGAATGATCTAGAGAACTCAAGAAAGTGCTACACTTATGATTACAGAGTTATTTAAAGGACATGAATCAGGACAACCCCAATGAACAGACATGTGGGATGAGGTCTCTCCCCTGGAACCAGGCGCATCCCCCTCTGGCATATCAGGGTGGTCTAGGGTTTTCACTGGGGTCCTCCTATAGGTGTGATTGACAGAATCACTGGCCACATGATGAAACTCAGTCCCCACACCTTCCCCGAGGCTGGGAGATCTCAGTGGCTCACAGTCCCAGTGTTCTAATCCATGACTGGTGGGGCATGGCCACCCCCTCCGCAAACTATGTCAGGCAGCCATGAGTCACCTTATTGTAAATCAGGTGCGGTCCCAGGGCCCAGGAATAACAAAGACGCTCCTCTCTTGGTGAATTCCAAGGGTTTAGAGGCTCCTCCCAGGACAAAAAACAGACCAAATCTTGTTATGAAAGAGCCTCCCAGAGATCGCTGTGCACAGAAGAGCAAATAGAAATACACATGGCTATCCCGCCTTTGTAACACACAGTCTGACAAGTACACGCATTTCTAGGGACCGATCTATGTTGGGAGTCTTTCCACATCGTATGCTCAGGATTTGCTTATCCTTCTCATAGCCTCATGAGGTCCTCAGATGCTTGTATCGTGATTGTTTTGTTGGCCCCCCATCAGCAGACATCTGGTTTATTTCCAGTTTGTTGCTGTTATGAATGATATAATGAACAATAATCAGTGACCCTGAGCAGGTCATCCCACACATGTACACGCAGGTCTCCAGGCCACCTGCCCCAGTGGGCCTGGGCCTCCAGAGACCCATGCACCTGTGACTTTGATGGTCATTGACAAATTCCTTCCACCTTCTGCAGCCCTGTGGGGGGCGCTCACCTGCACCCCTCACCCTTAGTGACAGCATTTTCAGAGGTTCAGAAGCATTAGTGGTCCCCATTCTGTGCTCTGTAGGAAGTGGTGACTGGAGGGGTTGGGGGACTTCAGGGAGAAGGGTTCTGTGAAGCCCCTGAGCTGCGCTTGGAAGGAGCAGGTATTAGACAGGTGCACGGGGGGGAGGGGGGAAGAGGTGGTGCACCTGGTGGGGTGGGAGGGACTGCCTGAGTGCAGGCACGAAGGCTGGACCATGTCATATAGGACAACAGGCTCCCACCCCCTCCCCAGACGTCGCTGTCTCTGGGGTACTGCCCCCTCCAGAGCAGGGATGTGGACCCAGGAACATGCTGTGTCCCGCCAAGGGCTTCAGCACCCAGTAACCCACTGTCACGCCAGGCCCTGTCTCTGAAAGAAGCAGAAAGGAGCCTGCTGCAGCAGGAGCTCTCCCGGGCCACTCGGGAGCTGAAGCAGGTGCAGCAGGAGGCCCACGGCCAGCAGGAGCAAGCAGAGGTGAGCCCTGTGTGCCCCCATCAGCCAGAACCCAGGCACTGGCCTGTCCCCCTGCAGTGTCCGGGAGGCGCTGGCAGAGTCCCAGATGCACCCCTTCCCACCTCGTCCCAGGTATACACTCCCCCTCAGCCCCCTCTGAGCCTCAGTTTATCTCCAGGCTTCTTGCTGGGAGGGAACATTGTCTTGATGGGAAGGAACGGCCGAGGAAGGCAGTCCCTGCCCCCACAGAAGGCACCAGGGACTCCACATGAGCCAGCATCAGAGTGGGCAGAACCCAGGCCTGTGCCCCCAATCCACTGGCCCCCTGCCTTGCCTGTCTGTACACTTGAACATAACTGCAGGAAATCTGACTCGCTGGAGGGGCCCCTTTCAAAGAAGAAACCAAACCAGAGGAAGGACACCCACGGAAAATCCCATAAAGCCTGAAGTGAGGCAGCCACCATGGGCCGGGAGAGACCCCAGGAGGCAGCTGCCTGCCCTCGACCAGGGGACAGAGGCCCACGAATGCATGGAGACTGCTGCAGGCTGCAGCTGGGGTCACCTGGGGCCCCTGACTCCTCTTCAGGAGCCCATGTCTAGTGCAGGCCAGGCAGTAGCAACTAGGACTCTGGAGAGGGGAGGGGCAGCAATTATGGGGCCCTGTGTCCTCACCCCACGGATGGGACTGGGCACCCACTGCCATTGCTGGCAGGGTGGCCTCAGCCATTTATGAAGTGGGCAATGCGGAGGCAAGGGCCCACTCACAGGAGGAGGTGGTCAAAGCAAGGTGACAGGACGCAGATGGAGAGGGATCTCAGGAGCACTGCCTGCAGTTGGGGTCAGACAGCTGTCCTGGGGGCTGGCCCTGAGCAGACACAGGCTGCAGGTACCCTCCAGGACAGAGGGGGACACAGCCCCACCTCTAGCCGCACCCACGCAGCCTCACGGGGCCAGCTCTGTCCCCTCTGCTCTGCCTTTGTCCCTCCAGCCCCGGTCACCTTTCCCTTCCAGTGCTGCTCTTTCACTTTTAACCTCGATGATCCCTGTTCACCCTGGTCCCTGGCGTGTCCTCGTCCCAAGGGCACAGTCACATGCCCCCTGGCCTTGAGTGAATGACTCAGGAGTCCGTAAATGAGTGCGTGGACGAGTGTGGACTGCTCTGCCAGGCCCGGAGCTTCCTTCCTGAGCTGCAGGGGCGGGAAGGCCTGGCTGGGAGGCCATGAAGTTCACTGTGACCTATGGGCAGGGGGCAGGGGGCTGTGCGGTGAACAAGGGGCTGCACTTAGAAGTTGGTTGCCAGGGTGTCTCTGTCCCCTCCTGCCTGCCGGGCGCCCAGATCCCAGTCACTCTGAGCAGAGCTGGGGAGGAACTCCCGGCACCAGGCACCAGCACTCAGGGGAGCCTTGCCCAAGATCCTCGCTCCCTGGGTCCCTGTCAGGCTCTGTCCCACCCCCTAGCAGATGGCCCTTCCATGTGCACAGCCAAGAGGGGAGTGGGGGCCCTGGAATTGTGTCCTCCTTCCTGCCCATCCCCCCCCCCG